CCGATCACGTAAAACCCTGCAGGTGAAAGTTACAGTCTTTCAGAAGAATAATAATCCTAATGATAAAAATAATCATCCCTTACATTTTTGATCCATGTCGGGAGCACATCTCTGAGCGTTGCCTCACAAGATTTATTGTAAAGTTCGGTGACCGTGTGTTCTGCAGGCAAATGCCAAGACTCCTGCGATGCACGATTAGTTGCATGACATTTGTTGCAAGGATGCCGGGGGCGGGTGGAGGGGGTGGGGGGAGGTGGTTAGAAGGTTTAGCCGCGTGAAGAAACTCGAACAGTTTTGAATCTGTCAAGCAACAGACAATATAAAACCTTGTGCGCAATTGTCCGCCGTGTTTCGGCCACTGAAAAGCGCAGTGAATCCACTTTGCAGTGAATCCTGCCGAGCGCTTCGAGACGTCCCGACGGCGTGAAAAGGCGCTGCATCAAATGTAAGGAAAATAGTCATTGTCGCAATTGTTATTGGTCTACGGAGCCGGGAGTCGAGACGGAAACTGCATGGACGCAATGGGTCGAATCACCTTTGATGCTGTGAGTTTAAAGTCTAAGGTGACATTCCTTCCTCTGCAGATGCTTGTGGATGTGAGAGAGAGAGAGAGAGAGAGAGAGAGGAGAGCGAGGGGTAGATGTAACTTCGGATGAGATGTTTAACTGAGATCCCGGGCTTTAAAGATCCCAGGGCGCTATTCAAAAAAAGGCAGAGCCAAGAATCGCCCAGATGATGCTGTGGTCATTTAGTTGCCGGCTGTTGGGGGGACAACGTGCAAATGAACTCTCTTTACATTCCCCCAGTCACACTCTCCAGCAAGATTGCCAAACGTCGGCAGCTTCTCTGTTGATGAGCTATCTCCAAAAGAGATGAAACATTGGTAAGTTGAAGGGGACCTGAACTGACTTACACCTGTTTACGAGGCTGAATGCTGATTTTTAGTGCGTGACATGTTGTTAGCCGACGTCTTGGGGGAGTTCCACTTCTCACTACCTGACAATCAAGGACATCTGCTCCATCGCTCCTGACAACAACACATATGTTAGAGGAGAGAGACGGCGGGAAAATTGTGGTCAACCTGGGCCGTGTTGACTCAACCCTGCAAACCCTGTTTGCGGAGGGAACGTAAATTAACAAGGGACGGAGGGAAGAACGAGGAGGTAAAGGAACTGGGGGTGAAAGTCCTCGCAAATCCACGGCACCTCAATCCGAGTTTGACGGAGAGAGAGAGAGAGAGAGAGAGAGAAAAACACGTTAAAAGGGTGAAAGTGGCAATGTGGGATGTGCTAATCTTCACTGGTTAGTGGGGTAGAGGCTTTGCTTCGGGTGTGTCGGACATTGTTCAGACGTCTTAAAGCGCTTCGCAGAATACAGTGCAGAATCGACTTGTGTATTTTGTGGGCGAAACGCGGTAGCCAATTGCGCACAGCGGTGTCCCCACAATTATATCATTTTTAAAGGGATTATTACGCCCGGAAAGCGCTCTAACCACTGAGCTACAGGACCCCATTTTTTTTTGTGCGTTCGATTCTCGCGATTGTTGTTAAATAAATCCCACTTAGTGAGCCGCGACCAACAAGACCATCGGTTAAGGCTCACCCCCACCATCCCCCAAAACACCCCAACCCCCCCACCCCCACTCCTCCCCCTCACCCACCCCGCATCTGCGGAGTGGAGTGGACTACACGAGACGAACAATTGTTTTACGGGCACTCTGACTGCAATCAGTTTTGCTGAAAGTCCCCGTGTCTGACGCTTATTTACCGTTCCATCAAACCTCTAAGCGGCAACGGGTTTGGCTGGCTGTCGTTTTCACCTCTGAAATCGGGGGCTGGGTCGCAAGACATGGCGAGGGCAGTGTGGACTCGGGTCAAAGCGCCCACAGGGGTCCCGACAGAAAAGGCGGCCGTGAGGCGAGGGGCAAATTGCGACCCGATTGGCAATCTCGCGAGTCCAGTGAAACGGAACAAATTTGGATTGCCTCCACGCTGCGAGTCTCTGGGAGATTGGGGTTGAGGCAGAGGGCAGGGCAGGCAGGAGGGAGAGAGTAGCTTTTGACATCTAACCCCTGTCTTGAAGGCGTTATTGGGGCAAGATTAAAAGAAAGAAATGTCCCCAATGCTGATCCGAAACCAAAAGCCACAACTGAGATGCTGCGGGCGTTCTCGTGGGACGTCCTCGCGGGGTGAAAGGCGCTGCACAAATGGAATTTTGCATCGTGTTGTGTGTGGTATCGACTAATGATACAATAATAATAATAATCCTTGAGTTTGATACAGCGCCTCGTCAGGTCGTCGAGACGTCTCACTCAAAGCGCTTCACGGGACACACAGTAAGGCTGCGTGTTTTTGTGGGCGAAACGCGAAGGCCAATCGCGCCCAGCGGCGTCCCCAGTTTTCTTTAAAGTCACCGCAGCATTCGCCGGACGGGGACGTGAATCTCGGTCGACGGCCCGTGAAGCGCTGAGCGTCGGGAAGCGAGTCGGACTGGGAAACTCGTGGCCTTCTGCGCGCAGATGGTGCACAGGAGTTTATCTGCTTCTTCAGGAAGCCTGGGTCAACACCGGGCTGACCTGACAATAATCTTCCTCGCCATATGTTGCAATTCCGAATTGACGTCTGACAATTAACGGCGTAATAATTGGAGCATTTGGAAGGATCCCAGCTCCGAGAAACAGCTCGACACTCTCTATCGCTGACCTTATTTCTGAAGGATGGCGATGCTGTAAGATAATTAATGCCAATCTTCCATCTGTCTGTATTTATATGTTGGGAAGCGTCCTTGAGAACCAGGCTACAAGGGCACGTGTGGCGAGAGGGCCTTGTGGAATATTAAAACGGGAATTTACACAACGCCTCTGCCATCTTTCCCCAAATCGATGTTAAGTGTCAATCATGGTGCGTTCAGACCAAAGCTCTGAGCCATCAAACCTCTTGCAGCCTATTTCTCCTCCTGTAAGACATCGCTGATTAACACGGAGTCTGGCTGGATGATTAATGTTATTGAAGGAGAAAGTGGGGTGAGGGCAGGTGGGAGGGAGGGAGGGCGGATGGGAGGGAAGGAGGGAGGGAGGGAGAGTGGGAGGGAGGCATAATAATAATAATAATCCCTTGATTTGATATAGCGCCTCTCACGTCTTCGAGACGTCTCAAAGCGCTTCGCAGAATAGACTTGTAAAGTGAATTGGGTGCATATATAGTGAGCGAAATCCGGCAGCCAATTGCGCGCAGCAGTGTCCCCACTAATTTATTATTATTTTTTTGAAGAAATATATGATGGTGGCAAGGAGTGAGAGTGAGAGTGAGTTGGGGAGGGAGGAAATGCAAGAGAGAGGGATGGGGGGGCGAGACAGAGAGAGAGAGACGGGTAGAGAGGGCTTCAGTGCTGGTGCTTAACAGCTACCCGTGAAATTATTTTAGGGTGGTGGGGGGGGGGGGGTGGGAATAAAGTCTGGAGGGGGCGATTTTAAAATCATCCACACTTTACGCACAAAAAAACTGAGAGTCTGTGAAGGTGGTCAACCCCTGGAGAACTTTCCTAACGCATTGGGGTCCGAGGGTTGGATAAACATTGCGTCCTAATTCTAAATCAGTTGACACGCTTTGGGTGTAACAAGGCGTTGAAGGACTCAGAGATAATTATACTCAGTACACATCACTGGGCAGACATAATAACGATAATAATACTAATAATAATCCTTGCATTTGATGCAGCATTGGACCACATCTCAAAACGCTTCACAGGTTACAGGTACAGCCTAAAGCGCAGTGTTTTGCGGGCGAACTCGGCAGCCAATTTGCACACAGCGACGAAGCAGAGCGAAACTCCCTTCTCTGGAACCCCCCCCACCCGCCCGCCCGCCCGCCCGCCCACCGCGCTCTGGAACTCTCTCCCGCAAACCCTCCGCCTCACCCCCACACCCCCTCTCTTGCCTCCTTCAAGTCCCGGTCTGAAGACCTTCCTCTGTGATCGTGCCTTATCGCACCGTTGAGACCTTCTCAAAGCGCTTCACACAATACGCTGCCAATGAAGTGACTGTATATTTTGCGGGTGAAACGCGGCAAACCAATTGCGCGCCACATGTTTCTGGGTCAAGCGACTGCGGTGTTTGGGGGGGAAATCGAATGTAATTGGGACTGTATGGTTGATGAGAGGTCATTTGTTCTGAAGGTGAGGTTTCTGCATTTATATGCAGTTGAGTGAAATTCCGGTCGCCGGAGAGTAATAGAGCCATAGGGCGTTGGAATCAGCCTCGCTGCCCCCTTTCTTGTCAGCAGATAATCACCAGGAAACCCTCGCGTGCAGAGGCTGGCCTCGCTGGAGGTTCCACCAGCTAAATTATTGCAGGATTGAATTATTTTTCTGCTTTGCGACGAGCTTTTTTTTCCGGGAAGCAAGATTAATGACTTTGAGGAGGGACGGGAGTTTTTTTTTTCTTTGCGTGTTGCCAGGGAAGACGGGATCACTTTGCGTCCCAACTCTCCGTCAAGCCAACTAAGCACTGATTAATCATAAATAGAGTCGCAAATAGACTCAGCGCTGATCGTTCAATCGATTCCCCACTGCCCCGACCTCGACCCTTGTTTCTATCGACGTATCTATCGGTTTCCAAATCCCTGAATGTCTAAGTGTCCTTTTATACGGTATCTATCCTCGCTTTATTAATGTAACTCCTTCTACCCTGGGAAGATGTCTCAAAGTGCTTTCGGAGGATTCACTGTGAAGTGTAGTGACTGCGTATTTTAATAGGTTGAAGAGGCCGCCAATACGAGCGCAGAGATGACCCCCACAAACAAAAAAAGGTGGTGGGGGCGGTGGGTGGAGGATGAGGTGGGGGGAAGATTTGCCGGCAAAGCTTGCTTCCCGAAGCTTTGGAATCCTACACCCAACCCCACCCCGGCTCCGCCACCATCAAGCCCTCCGAGACCCTGCCCCGCGTGGAGGGGGCTGTGTGAGCGCGAGTCATTTGCGTTCGTGGTCGACGTGTTTAGGCTCACCGGGCGTGTCGAAGAGACGCGATTTCTTACAGTGGAAGGCCACTTCCTGTTCGCAGTGTTCCATGCTGTCCATCATGGCTTGAAGCTGGTCCAGACTGGCTGTGTAGTTGAAGTCAACCAAACCACTCCTCTCCCCTCTGGAGCCTCGCACTCTGGTCAGCTCTGTGTTGTTGTGCTGGATTATAGTCCATGTCTTGTCCTCTGTCGTTCAGAGAGAGAGAGAGAGAGAGAACGAGCGAGAGAGAGTGAGAGAGAGATAGAGAGCGAAGTTAATGCGTTGACATTCAAAGGGTGTTGTCGGGATGGTCCTTGCTGGACAAGCGAGCAGCAAAGCTCAGACAACGCTCTCGATTTCAAGCTATCTTGTTTTAGCCAGTTAAATTCCAGCAGTTGGGAATCCCCCCACCCCTCCCCTCCCCCCCCACACCCTCCACCCACCCTTCCCACCCCCCCAATTTAACACTTGGGAGATCCAGGAGGACCTCGCAAAGCACGTCACGAGATTCACTGTAAAGTGTAGTGACCGTGTGGTTTTGAAGGCAAATTGCAGCAGCCAGCGTTCACGTAATCTACAAGCCAGAGCCCTAGCGGGGAGGGTGGTCCTAGCTGGCCAAGCTGCGGGAAAGCTTGCCAGTCAGTGCTCTCGATGGCGAGCTGTGTGGTTTTAAACTGATTAGACTCCAGCAGTTCCTCCAACGACTCAATCTGGGGTCTCCCCAACGCCTTTGCTCTTGCCAACGCGTGTCTAATAATCTCCAGAATTAGGTAAACAGGATGCATCCCTCCAAAGAAAGAGGGAGAGAGAGCGAGAGAGAGAGAGAGATGTGATAAGACGCTGTATCAAATGCAAGGATTATTATTATTGTTATTATTGATTACTGGGTTGGGCTGGGCTGGGTTGGGTTGGGCTGGGGTTGGGTTGGGTTGCGCTGGGGTTGGGCTGGGCTGGGCTGGGTTGGGTTGGGTTGGGTTGGGCTGGGCTGGGTTGGGGTTGGGTTGGGCTGGGCTGTGCTGGGCTGGGCTGGGTTGGGTTGGGTTGGGCTGCGTTGGGCTGGGTTGGGGTTGGGTTGGGCTGGGCTGGGCTGGGCTGGGCTGGGTTGGGTTGGGCTGGGTTGGGCTGGGTTGGGCTGAGTTGGGGTTGGGTTGGGCTGGGCTGGGCTGGGTTTGGTTGGGTTTGGTTGGGCTGGGTTGGGCTGAGTTGGGGTTGGGTTGGGCTGGGCTGGGCTGTGCTGTGCTGGGTTGGGTTGGGCTGGGTTGGGCGGGGCTGGGCTGGGTTGGGTTGCGCTGGTTTGGGTTGGGCTGGGTTGGGTTGGGTTGGGTTGGGGTTGGGTTGGGAGGGGTTGGGCTGGGCTGTGCTGGGTTGGCCTGTGCTGGGTTGGGTTGGGTTGGGCTGGGTTGGGCTGGGTTGGGCTGGGCTGGGTTGGGTTGGGCTGGGTTGGGTTGGGTTGGGCTGGGCTGTGCTGGGTTGGGTTGGGTTGGGATTGGGTTGGGTTGGGATTGGGTTGGGCTGTGCTGGGTTGGGTTGGGTTGGGTTGGGTTGGGTTGGGCTGGTTTGGGTTGGGTTGGGTTGGATTGGGCTGGGTTGGACTGGGCTAGGTTGGGTTGGGTTGGGCTGGGTTGGGATTGGGTTGGGCTGGGCTGTGCTGGGTTGGGCTGGGTTGGGATTGGGTTGGGCTGGGCTGTGCTGGGTTGGGTTGGGTTGGGCTGGGTTGGGCTGGGCTGGGTTGGGTTGGGTTGGGCTGGGTTGGGATTGGGTTGGGCTGGGCTGTGCTGGGTTGGGTTGGGTTGGGCGGGGGTTGGGCTGGGCTGGGTTGGGATTGGGTTGGGCTGGGCTGTGCTGGGTTGGGTTGGGATTGGGTTGGGCTGTGCTGGGTTGGGTTGGGTTGGGCTGGGTTGGGCGGGGCTGGGTTGGGCGGGGCTGGGTTGGGTTGGACTGGGTTGGGGTTGGGCGGGGCTGGGCTGGGCTGGGTTGGGCGGGGCTGGGCTGGGCTGGGCTGGGTTGGGTTGGGGTTGGGTTGGGCTGTCTTGGGGTTGGGTTGGGCTGGGTTGGGCGGGGCTGGGTTGGGCGGGGCTGGGTTGGGCGGGGCTGGGCTGGGTGGCTCACCTGTCATGTTGCAGTACACCAGGAAAGGTTTGGCAGCAGCACTGCCGTCTGGATCGATGGGGAAGACTCCGGATGTCCTGCCTTTGTGCTTCACGGCTTCACACGACTGCTCGTGCACTGCTGCAGTGTGGGGGAAGGGATCAAAAGGCAAAGCTTTACAACCAGCGGAGACCTGCAGCATAGGGGGCATAGCGACAACAACAACAACAACCACACAACAACAACACAACAACACCGCAACGAGAACAACAACACAACAACAAGAAGAACAAGAAGAACAAGAACAGCAAACAGAACAACAACACAACAACACAACAACACAGTGAGACCAACAAGAACACGACAACAACACAACAACACAACATCAACAACAAACAACAACAACGACAACAAGAACAAGAAAAAGAACAACAGAAAGAACAAGAACAGCAACACAACAACACAACAAGAACAACACAACAACAAGAACAAGAACACGAACAACAACACAAAGAACAACAACAAGAATCTCAAGAATAATCCTTACGTTTGATATAGCATTTGATCACGTCTTCCGAGACGACTCAAAGCGCTCAAAACCAGCCGCTAGACTTTAAAGCGGTTTGAGGCGTCCCGAAGACGTGATAAGGCGTCACACCAAGTGCAAGGATTATTGTTATTAATTATCATCGCAATGAGCGTAGCAAAAACACTTTGCATAAAAACTGCACGATCTTGCTGGAGAGAGAGAGAGATAGAGAGGAAGAGTAAGAGGAAGAGTAAGAGACAGAGGACAGATAGAGAAAGAGAAAGAGAAAGAGAGAGAGAAAAGGAAGGAAGGAAGGAAGGAAGGAAAGTTAATTGTGCTCTGAGAGTGAAACAAAATAGCCGTAAGGAATGAGTTAATAACAGTCCTCGTATTGGAATACGGCATCGGACGGTATCAGAACATCTCAAAGCCCTTCGTGGGGTCATTTGTGTCGGGCGTAAAGACTGTGTGTTTTGTTGGGCGAGTGCGGCACTTTCAGCCCCTTCGCCACCAAACTTTGGAACTCTCTCCCTCAATCCCTCCTCCCGCCTCACTGCCTCCTTCCCCTCTTTTGGATAACGACCGAAGACCTTCCTCCTCGACCGGGCTGACGGTCACCTCCTGCCTCCCCCCTCCCCCCTCCCCCCCACCCCACTGCGCCCCAGTTGTGGTTGATGCTGTTAGACCTGACTGGTTTTACCTACAGTTGCCTCCCAACTGCCCCGACCCCCCAATCCTCTCCGCTCTCCCGTGTCTGATGCCCGTGAAGTGTTGTGAGACATCGAAAGGCTGTGTCTAAACGAAAACTGAGATCATGCTCCAGAAGGGGGCGCTGTTAATAGTAATAATAATAATAATAATAACAATAACAATTTGTATTGAATATACTGTGAAGACAAATGACTATAGTCTGTGGGTGAAATGAGACAGGCAATTGCGCACAGCAGTGTCCCACGTTTATTGTCAATTCTTTTAAAGGATCAAGGGCGAAGATTTATATTATTATTGCTATATTATTATTATTATTATTGCTATTAGCGTTGTTATCAGTGTTGTTATTTTTATTATTATTTTTATTACTACTTTTATTATTCTTTTTATTATTACTGCTACTGCTGGTGTTATTGCCGTTGTTATTATTGAAACTTGTGCTGTGCCATCGGGCGATGACTTCGGCTCGGTTGCCGTTCAGGGTAAGGTGAACTATCCCGCGCGAACAGCTCCGGACTTCGATGGGGGGGGGCGGTCACCTCCCGAAGCTTCCCGTTAAAACAAGCAGAACCCGCTCAAGAAAAACTTCCCCGGTAGCGAGCGGCCGGGTTTGTTCCTTGTTACTCACATCTGTGGCAGGTCTCCCCGGTGTATCCTGTCCCCGTGCAGTCACAGTAAAAGCCGCTCCAGGTTTGCGAGCACTCCCCCCCGTGCTCGCAGTAGTTGGGCAAACACCTACCAAAAACAAGCCGGCGATCACACGTCTGTTAGGAAACGCGCACGGGCTTTAACGCAGGCGGTCAGGGCGCTCTCGCCTCGCCTCGCGAGCGGGAGGGAGGGACCCGGGTTCGATTCCCGGGCGGGTCGGGTCCGGTCAGGTCGGGGGCGAAACTTTAGGCAGGTTTCCTTACTCTACACACACACGCGCACGCACGCACACGCCTCTGGTTACCCAGCGGTAAGTAGGAACCCGGTTGTTAGTCGATTGGCTTTTCTGGGAGTAACAATCCCTTCCCCCCCCCCCCACCACCACACCCCCAAAAAAATGCAGTCACTCAATCCACTTCACAGGATATCCTGCGAAGCGCTTTAAGACGTCTCAACGGTACGATAAGACGCCAAATCGAATGCAACGATTGTCCTTACGATTATCACAATAAAGTGCTGCAGCGAACGCACGGATATACCTTTGCAACGTGACTTTGCTCGTGGACTAGACGGTCGGAGCTTAACCGTGGGAGAAACGGGGCTTCCTAAAACGGCGTGCGTAATTAATCGTTTCACGAAACGTCCGTTACATCAAGTTTTCCTTGCAATTGCGTCTGACAGATCTTTTGTAACTTGCTGGAGTTCCTTAATGAAGACAACGGCTTTTACGGGACCTGGTGTATTGAATCCAATGGACGCTGGTTTCCATTATATGTACATCCCCGCTTCATTACGTTTGCTTGTGAGCTTTCGGTAATTTATCCTGTTATTATATTTACTGAAGTAATAACAGCGGAACATAACAGCTCCTGAATAATTCATGTCGTGTTTGCTTCATTTACAAAGGAGGAGAAGATAATAACACTTAAGAGGAAGAGAGAGAGAGAAGGAGAGAGAGAGAGAGAGAGAGAGAGAGAGAGATGGAGAAGACGATGTTGACTTCAATGATAATATCCTTGCATTTGATATAGCGCCTTATTGAGACGTCTTAAAGCGCTTCACAGGATCTATTGTAAAGTGAATTGAGTGCGTAGCTTGTGGGCGAAACGCGGCAGCCAATCGCACACAGCAGTCATGGATTGAGTGACCAAATTATTATTTTTAAAGGGATTATTACTTGCGGAAAGCGATCCGCCAATCGACTAACAACCAGGTTCCTACTTGCTGTGAGGTAAACAGAGGCAAGTGCTCTAACCAATACGCTACAGGACTCCGAGGGAGGAAGAGAGAGAGAGAAGAGAGAGAAAGGAGAGCGATAGAGAGAAAGAAAGAGGGAGAAAACAACAGTTTTAAAATTAAAATAGCGCCCTGTCCGTCAGGAGGACATCTCAACTCGTTTCACGCTGGGGGAGAGAAAGGGAGAGAGAGAACGAGAGAGAAATGAGAGAGGAAGATAAGCGAGAGAGAGAGAGAGAGAGAGGAAAAAAAGAGTCAAAGACAGATAGAAAGAGGAGAGACTGAGCGAGAACAAGAGAGGTGGAGGGTGGGGGCAGAAAGAGAGAGCGAAAACAGAGGAAGGAGAGGAAATTGGAAAGTTACTCTGTGAATCTCCGAACATTTGCAATACATTCCTACGTCCACCAGATGTCATTAAGTCACACAAAGTCGCAGCTTACTGTATTTCCTTCCAAACGTTTTCATTGTATTGCTGGACTCCACGAGGATCTTCTCTCTATCTCTCTCTCTCTCTCTCTCTCTCTCTACCATTATTTGCTGACTAAAGGCAAAAGCTGTCCCCTCTCGCTCCGTGCGATCCTTCAAACTCTTTCCTTAATGAACGTTCAGTCGAAACCCGTACAGAGAGGTTTCGTGCTGCACTCTGCCTTTCGTGGAGATTCCCCCGAACGAATTGTGTCTTCTCCCTCTTTCCGATACCGTGGTTATACGGTCTGCGCAGAAGACTGGACTGCTTTCTGCTTAACACTGCCCTGTTTATCACTGCCTTGCTCCCTGCTTAACCCCGATCTGCTCCCTGCTTAGCACTGTCACCTTTTCCACTGAACGCAGCCTGCTCTGACACACGCTGGGCTTTGCTGAACACTGCCCTGCTCGCTGCCTATCAATCCGCTCGACAGTATATCCCGTGAAGCGCCTCGAGACGTCGCGACGACGTGCTAAGGCGCAGAATCCAATGCCATGATTATTATTATCAATGTTATTACTTTTGCTGCCCGCTTGGACGCTGAGCTGCGCCGATCCAGAAGCCGAGGACACGGCCTGCGATCGAAAGGGGAGGGGGAGGTGGGGTGGGTGGGTGGGTGGGTGGCGCGGGCGGTAAGCACGGAAGAAATCCGAGCGGACGATAATTCGGTGAGCGAGTGGGAAAATGTACGGCACAGGAGACAAACGGTGGAAGCAGAAAGGAACAGATGGGAGAGATTTCTGTTCGGAAACACTATCTCGGGGGAGACAGTGCATGGTTTTAGACACGACATGTGTGAGCGACTGGCAGGATGGTGGAAGGCAAACTGGATGGACCTTGGTCAACTGTCTGCCCAGCAAGTTCTTCTGTTGTGTTAACCCCGATCGGCCCTCCATGATAAACACTGCAAGCTCAGCAACCAAGCGCGCGCACACGCGATCCGTGACTGTTTGCGGGCCCCTGCGGTGGGCAATTGGTTTCGGGCGCAATTCGATTCACTTTACAGTGCGTCCCGCGAAGCGCTTTGAGACGTCTGAACGACGTGATAAGGCGCTGTATCAGATGCGAGGATTATTATTACTATTACCTGCCCTTCCGCACCCGCACCCCCTTTGTATCTGACTTGAAAGGTGCTTTATAACCGCTATACAAGTGTTATACTCTCTCTCGCTCTCTCTCTCTCCTTCTCTCACACTGACAACACCAACAACAACAACATCAGGATTCCATTTCGCGCCCGCAATGAACTCGGTTCTACCGACGCGGGGAAATTAACCCCGTGCTCGCAACATTTTCAGCCCCCATTCAAGTGCAAACACGTGGGGCAAGTCTCCCAAGTGCTTCACGCGGTTTACAGTGAAGTGTAGTGTCTGTGAATTCGTGCACAGCACCGCATGCGCACAGCAACGTCCCCCAAACAGCCACAAAGATTTCTCGGCTGTGAATTCCGGGAGTTTAGGTGTTCGGTTGCCATAGAGACAGCTTTCCTCCATAGACCCCGACAAATCTTAACAAAGCATTGCCTCCTCACACCCTCACTACCTCCTGAGGGACACAGCCCCCTCGATCCCAAAGCAATCGAGCATAATCGCGTGATATTCGTCCATTGACATACTGTCTACCGTCCAAAGCTCTCCCTAAACGCCCGCCTGATCCAGACAGCTCAGTCACGTCTTACGGAGCAGTTTACCTGTGACGACTCAGAGCTCCTCCTGTACTGCACAGGGGAGTCAGCCCGGCTCAATGGACCCACTACCTTCTGACCCTCGCTATCAACCGAGCCGGGCCGGCACCCCAAAGCCAGGCCTTATCTATAACAGAAAGGAAATGGTGCGACAATTTATTGGCTGCGCGTTCTGCCTTGCTCCCTCCCCTGCCTCCTTCAAGACCCTCCTCTTCGACCGAGCCTTTGGTCACCCTCAAACTCCTACCCTCCTTGCCCTCCACACCCCTCCAGCCCACCCCACCCCTCCCCTCCTCAATCCCGACCTCCCCCCCCTCACCCCCGGGTTTTCGGGATTCCAAATCCCTGACCGTCCAGGGTCTTAGGACTTCCTCCCGACGCGCCAGACCAGGAATAAAGTTGTCGTTGTTTGTTGTCGTTGGGTCGAAACCTTGCCCCCGCGAGTTCCGGGTCGCTAACCCACGCTGTACGAAGGCAAGTTGTTGTCCTTGTGGCGAACGCAATGGATCGAATATGTTTTTTTTGCGCTCACGCACGCGCACACCTCCTCATTTCATCTCGGCTTTTTCCAGCTAATTGGTTGAGATACAGTCAGGGCTCAATGAGCAAACATACCACCTGAACGATTTGGCATCTGTTCCGTTTATTAAACACGGGGTGGGGGGGGGGCGGCGGTAAATAGAAATGCGAATACCTACCCATCGCTAATGCAAAAAAAAAACGTCAACCCCACTAGGAAGTGGAACATCAAACAGTCAATCAGTCTCCGGGAACGATTGACTTGTTCGATATCGTTTGCTGCCTTCATCAGGTGGAAAACAAATCATTTTCACGGCCGATTTGCTGGAATTGGGTGTTAAGATGCGTTTAACTTACATTTTTCTTGTTACTCGGTTGGTCCTTTTTCCAGTTAGTCAGTCGGTTGGTTTGTTGTTCGATCGGTTCGTTAGAGTTAACGCTTCCGAAATGAGGGGGTGTTCGTCTCGGCTCAGTCGCTACCGCTATCGCCCGCTCGGTCAAGAAGGTTGTGGGTTTCAAGCCCCCCCCCACCCCTACCCGCACGTCAGCGCTTGGAATCACATCGTCTACGTCTAAGCCGACGTTCCAATGCAGCTCTGGGGTGAAGGGGGGGTGGGGGGGCGGAGTGTTGTATTGTCGGAGGTGACCTCCTTCGGATGAAGGAGGTCACCTCCGACAATTCGCCGATGATGACCCTCTAAGCACTCGCGAGATAAGCCTCCTCTCCACGTCGGAGAGAATTCACACTCCTCTCTCTCTCTCTCTCATCTCTCTCTCTCTCTCTCTCTCTCTCCGTCCCGAAAATAACAGCAATCCTCAACACCTGAGAAAGCTCTGGCTTCTCTCCCATTTTGGGATGTTGTGTTAACACGTAGAAACCTACCTCATTAGGTCAGGGTATTAAGGGATACGGGGCAAAGGCGGGTAATTGGACTCGAGGTACGGATCAGCCATAATCTTATAGCACGGCAGAACAGGCTCAAGGGGCTGAATGGCCTCCTCCTGTTTCTACATTATTTGCAATGGACCACACCAACACCACATTAGAACGCAGTAGTTTGGGTCATCAGATAAACCCCCTTTCCCAACCGCCATGAAAATGGTGGCGCGGAATAAATAACGGCCCGGCTTCTCTGCCATTGTGTCGCTGCTCAACTTCTTTTCCAATGCGACGACGTCGGTGCGCAAAGACAGGACGTGATGTCAATCGTGCTTCCTGCGTACCACACAGGGAGCGATGTCAGCGGCGATTCCCGCGCTTAGCACAGGAAGTCATGTGAGGGGCCCTTCCTGCGTCCCCCCCCCCCCCCCGTCCCCCCACACCCCCGCGAGATCACTGACGTTCAGCCTGGACCGTCAGCCCAGCCATCCACCGAGGGGGCTTCAACCCACAACCTTCCGGCTCAAGCTGCCGCCACAGTTCCACTAGACATTTCCCCCTCGATGGAAATCATTCGCTCACTTCACGGCTGATCGTGCTGATTCACGAGTAAAACAGCGACGAGATGCACACAGGAAATCGCTGGGAAATCGAGAATACGCCAACTCAAGAACTGGAAGGCTCATTGTTCGGCAACCAGCCCCGCATTGATCCCCGTCAGATTGCAAGCGAAGGCGTTTCATTACTTTACTTGAGTTTTGAGGCTTGAGAGTCTTGAGAGGCTTGAGGCTTGAGTTTGAGGCTTGGAGAGGGGGGAGTAATAATAATAATAATAATAACTAATAACTCCCAAACTATTTACTGTATCCCCAGATATTATTTCCTAAAAGAAATCTATCTATAAAAGACCAGAATATATAGACCGTAAAGTGAATTTGCTGTATATTTTACGGGGTGGGGGTGGGGGGAGGAGAGGGAGAGGGGGGAGTTGACTGAACGTAAATTAGCTGACCCATTCCGCCAATTCTGGACAACTAAACGTTCGAATAGATAAAATCTCGACCTGGCTGGACTTTCTACTCAACCGGTCAGACTTGAGGACAAAACGGAATCGCAGCCGAAGACCGATTAAGATCTCAAGCCTCCGGTGTGTTTTGTGGGTAACAGGTTCGGGCTTGCGGGGTTCAGCAGGAGATGAATGGGATTCTTCCCACTTGGCTTCCGCTAACCCTACAAGCCAAAGCCCCAACGGGTTGGGGTGGTCCTTAGCTGGACAAGCCGCGGGAAGCTGGACAGGCAGCGCTCTCAAAGGCGGGCGAGGAGGCCGGTTAAACTCATGGCGCGCTCTGAGGACCTCAAGCCTCGGCTCTTGCCAACCTGACTGAGCCCGATGCGCCCCGGGATTAATATATTAACATAATTATAAGCCTTGCTTCTGGTCTGGCGCCTCATCGCACCCTCAGGATGGGGCGGGGGTGGGTGCATGTGTGGAGATTTTCCACATGCGAGCGGCGTGTTTATGCCCAACTCTCAGTCTGGTTTGGATACTCTTGAACTCGAAGCCGAAGGGTTTCCTCTTGGATCAGACAGACGGCGGTAACGAGAATACTCCTTGCTTTTGTTACAGCGCCTGATTCAACGTGCTCCGCGCCGTCTCGAAACGCCTCACAGAACATACCGTAAAATGTAGTGACTGTGCATTTTGTGGGAGAAACGTGGCAGTCAGTTGTGCACAGCGGCGTCCCATAAGCAGTCGCGAATTGACTGACCGTATTGTTATTTTTTGGAAGGGATTATTACCGCCAGAAAGCCATCCGCCAATCGACTAACAACCGGGTTCCTACTTACTGCCGGGTAAACAGAGTGGAGTAAGGAAACTTGCCCAAGGTTTCGCCCCACCTGGGAATCGAACCCGGGTCCTCTCGCTGGCGAGGCGAGAGCTCCGACCCACTGCGCCAGACGTACAAGAGGGAGTGAAGCGTCTACCTGTCCACGATTCCGCACAGGCCTATCTGGAGGTGGCTGGAATTGCCCTGTGAGCCTTGCAGGAGCAGCGTAAGGTTGGCTGGCTGGTTGTCCACAAAGATTAATCGCATGCAGCCGCGGAAACCATCGAAGGGATTGGAGCATCCACCGACGCTGACGGTGTCAGGACAGCCTGAGAAGCACATCACACACGGCAGGCGGCGTTAACAACAACAATAATAATCCTCGCATTTGATACAGCGCCTTATCACGTCGTTGAGACGTCTCAAGGCGCTTCACGGGATACACCGTAAATGTAAAGTGTGGTGACTGTATATTTTGTGGGTGAAACGTGGCAGCTAATTGCGCACAGCAGTGGTGTGGGGGTGGGGGGGGGTGTGGTAGGGGGTGGCAGAAAGTCCCCGAAAATGGGTGCACTTTCACCCAAACATTTTTTGTCCCCAAAGGCTGATCTGGAACTCTCTCTCCCTCCCCCAAAAGGCTGTGGATTACGATTGGATCCATTCACGTTGTCCAGACTGAGATGGAGAGATGTTTGTCAGTTCAGGGGATCAAAGGGGATACGGGGCAAAGGGAAGTGATTGGAGCTGAGGTACAGATACATGATCTAATAGAACGGCGGAACAGGCTCGAGGGGCTGAATGGTGTGGGGGTGTGTGTGTGAAGGTGTGTTAATGGGAAAGACGGGTGACCTACCTCCGAAATAGTAACTGCTCCCCGAGTAAATCTGGACGGTGGAATGAGCGTTCAAGGCTGGGACGTGGTCCAAAGTGATGCTGACCTGATTTCCCCGGGCGGCCAAATAGACCTGGTGCCACCGTCCGTCGTTGAGGTCGGCCCCTGGGAAAACACGCAGCGGATTAAAACACGAAGCGGGCGAGGCCTGAGGGGGGTGTGGGGGGGGGGTTAACAATCTGCTGGGATGCCCTTCCCGACCTGACCCTGCGCGACGGAAAACCCACCACCGTGGCTTTAATGGCGTGCAAACCCAGGACGGGAGTAAACCGACGGCAACCTACGTTCGACGCGGGGCCTCCATCGGGTGGTCGAGATGTCTCACGTTCTCCCCGGGCCTCAAAGGCTTTCGGGACGGAACGGTCTGGCGGGCGGGCTGAGACGCGGCGGGATTTGAGACCCAGGATATCCGCTTGGCGACCTCCGCAGGTCAACCCGTTTCGAAACGCTCAGCGATCGCCCGGCATCATCGCGAGGTCGTTTATAGCGATCGGAAAGACTTTAATAATAATAATAATAATAACAACAACAATAATAATAATGATCCTTGCATTTGATACAGCGCCTTATCGAGACGTCTCAAAGCGCTTCGCCGCATATACTGTAAAGTGGAGTGACTGTGTGTTTTGTGGGCGAGACGCACAGCGGCCGTGGATTGAGTGACTAAATTATTATCTTTTTGTAATGGATTATTACCCCCGGAAAGCGATCCTCCAATCGACTAACAACCGGGTTCTTACCTACTGTCGGGTAGACACAGGCGTGTGCGTGGAGTAAGGAAACTCGCCTTAGGTTTCGCCCTGACCTGACCCGCCCGGGAATCGAACCCGGGTCCTCTCGCTTGCGAGGCGAGCGCTCCCGCCACCGAGCTACAGGACTCCACAAAGACGAATGCAGGCACTTTGTGAATCCCAACCATGTTTTGTTTCGAACAAACAGGAATAATAATGTTGGGTGCAGTCAGTTGGTTAGTGTCTGGCTCGGGAGGATGTCTGATGGACCATCTGTTGGTGCTGCGTAGTTGGCTCGCGTTCCTGCTCTCGCTCTCTCTCTCTCTCTCTCTCTCGTGCTCTGCTGTATTCCCAACACACGTCCCTGTAGCCCTGTTGACCAGGAGTCCTGTAGCTCAGTGGTTAGAGCACTCGCCTCGCAGGCGAGAAACCTGGGTTGGATTCCCAGGCCGCGGCGAAAGCTGAGGCGAGGTTCCTCACGCCACACGCCTCTGCTTACCCAGCCTTCAGTAGGAACCCGGTGGGTAGTCGACTGGCGGATAACTCTTCCGGCGGCAATAAACTCTTCAAAAAAAATAACAACGCTAACAATTCGGTCATTTCAATCCACGGCTGTTCGTGGGGCACCTCTGCGCGCAATTGGTTGCCTCGCTTCGGCCACGGGATGTACGGGTCAATTCACTCTCCGGAATACTGTGAAGGGTTTTGAGACGTCCCGAAGACCGGACTGTTCCAGCGCCAGCCCAACCCTCAGGGCGTCAGTCTGTCTGTGGTATCTCGTCCGGGGCCAACGTGGAACAGCTTTGTTAACGCTCAGTGGATGCTCTCGCCCTGAAGCGCGGCGACGGGTTTCCGCGCGTGTCAGGAACCCGGCTGACCGGAAAAAAATAAAAATAAAAGAAAATCTTGAATGAATTGGCTGACAATCTGCCACCACTTCTTCCTTCAGGCATCTGTTCAGCCCGTCCCAAACGTCCTCTTGTCGCAGCACTAATAATCCGTGCGCTTAAACAAAAATAATTTGGTCACTCGACTGTCCGCGTGCGGGGGAACGCTGCCGTGCGCTGCGCAAATCGGCTGCCGCGCTTCGCCGTCAAGCACGCGGTCGATTGACTTTGCCGTGTAATCTTGCGAAGCGCTTTCAGGCGCCTCGGAGACGCGGTAAGGCGCTTGTGTGAGCGCCATTTCGTGCTGCGCTGCGTTGCATTGGAGCCTCGGCTTAGCACGAGCGAGTTCAAAGTCTCCCGGCTTGAACCTGGGACCTTACGACTCAGGGGGGGGGGCGAGTGGGTCGGGGTTGGCTGACGGACTGAGCCGGGGCTTGGCACCTCAATGATAACACTGGAGCGTGGCCTCCGCTTGTTATTATTAAAATACCTGTCGTGTTTCTCCTCGCTTCGCTTGGCTGAGAGAGAGAGCGAGAGAGAGAGGAGAGAGAGAGAGGAGAGAGAGTTCCCGAAGGCTGTCTGAGCCTTTTTTGGGGGGATTAACACCCACAGCAACGACTTGCATTTATATAATAAAAATAATAATAATAATAACCCTCGCATTCGATACGGCGCCTCATCACGTCGTCGAGACGTCTCAAAGCGCATCACGGGATACGCCGTAAAGTGGATTGACGGCGTGTTTTGCGGGCGAAACGCGGCGGCCAATTGCGCCCGGACAGCGTCCCCGCAGGCAGCCGCGGATCGAGTGACCAACTTATTACGATTCATTGTTTATTTAATGAAGGGAATCCGCCAATCGACTAACAACTGGGTTCCGACTTACTGCCGGGTAAACGGATTCGTGCGCGGAGTCAGGAAACTTGCCTGAGCTTCCGCCCTGACCAGGGAATCGAACCCGGGTCCCCTGGCTTGCGAGACGAGGGCTCTAACCGCCGAGCTGCATCCAGTGCTCTTCGACAACAACAACAGCAACCCCAAATAGCAGAGATGATGGCCTCTGAGCAGCCGAGAATCCCTTGTAGCTGCTGCCAGTTTGCAAAGCGTGGAGCTGGCGGGGATCAGGGTCGGGCCGACGGGCATTATACTGCGCTATAAAATTCATAGAATTTTAAATTCCTATTGATTGCTCGCGCTTGCATGCAACCCCAGACTTAATTGAATACTCCAGGGTGCCCTCAGCTGGCCAATTGCGTTGCTTTGAAAATTTCTAACAGATAACGCTGGCATTTCATCGCATCTCGGGGCTGTTAGAAGTAACAGAGGAGCATTTTGCTTTGCTGGGAAGAATACCCGAGCCCTTCCCTTCCTTTCCGGTTTCTCCTCTGCCTGGAGCACGGCTCGCAGCCTTAATTCCCTTTCCCTCCCTCCGGAGGGAGAGCCCAGAGCGTGCGTTGGAGTGCACTTTAAGCCCAGTGATGAGTTTCCGTGTGTCAGACACCCGGACCGGTCATCAGAAGATAATCATTTGAATCCCTTTCGACTGAAAGACCCTGCGCAAACACGCCAACTGCTATGTTGTGCGACTACAGCGTGCCTTGCTATCGCCTGCTCACACCCACGTTATCCATGCAAAGTTCATCTCTCTCTCTCTCTCTCCCTCCCTCCCTCTCTCTCTCTCGCCGCCTTTGCCAGGCTTATAATAATAATAATAATAATAATCCTTGCATTTGATATAGCGCTTTTCACGTCGGGAGGACGTCCCAAAGCGCTTCACAGAACACACTGTAAAGCGAATTGACTGGATATCTGTGGGCGAACGCGGCAGCCAATTGCGCACAGCAATGTCCCACAAACAGTCGTAGATTGAAAATGACCAATTTATTATTGTTTTTGGCTTTGGAGGGATTATTATTAGGCTCTGTGTGGAGTAAGGAAACTTGCCCAAGGTTTCGCCCTGACCCCCCGGGGATTGAACTCAGGTCTCTCACTTGCAAAGCGAGTGCTCTAACCACTGAGCTACAGGACTCCACAAAGATAGATCGAGCGTGTAACGTCACGACCCTATTTGATGTCTCTCCGCAGTTTTGGCGATTCTTGCGCGCCGGCCCCCCCCGCTGCGTTTCCCACACACCACAACCCCGCTAACTGCATTCCATCCGGACCGCATCAGCGTCCAACAGGTTGGAACCCCCACACCCCCACCCTCTCCCCCCCCCACCCGCTCCAGGCTCTCAACGCCAAGATCTCTGTCCTACACCTTCACCTTCACCAGCCTCCACAGCCTTGTACCACCCTCGTCTCTGCCACCTCCCAAGACCCAACTCTCCCAGCCACTCCTCCCGCTCCGTGCCCGCCCAGTCCATTCCCCGCCTCAACGCCCGCGCCCCCCCCCCCCACCCCCATCCCTCTGCCCTCCTGTTATCGAGAAAGCCTTCAGCCACTTTGCCTCCCTCCCCAACCCCCGCCTCCCCCCCACCCCACTTCCACTGGGCAAAATTGGCTGCCGTGGTTCCCCCCCCCCCCCACAAAATACAGTCACACCACTTTGCAGTATATCCTGCGAAAAAGTACCTTTTGAAGGCTCGGGGATGTGATAAGGCGCCGTATCAAAAAAACACGGAATATTACCGCAAAGCCTTTCCCAAAGATGAACCCTCCGCCTCACGCCCCCTTTCACAATCCTGCCTGAAGCCCTTAAATAAACAGAACTTAGGAGGGGCCACCGCGAGGAGAGGGAGATAATGAGATAGTGGAACTCGCTGCCTCAAGCGATGGTTGAATCAGATCGTGCAGCGCAAGATAAGAAGCTATTGGACCCAACTCCAACGAGACTAATCCTCTTTAATATAAACGACGGGTCACTGGCGGGGGGGTGGGGCGTGGGAGGGGGGGGTGAGAAAGCAATTTCCTTCCTGGGAGGAGAAGGTCGGGGCCTTTGAAGTGGCTTTATATAGAAACTCTACCCGCGCTCATTGCCCTAATAAAGTTATAATTACTCCAACGTTTGAAGGCGGACGATTGCGGAGTTGGTGTGAACGCAAGGGTCTCGGGTCGGCTGGCGGGCGGTCTCCAGCCATGCGGCCTGGCTTCTGGTTTCCCCCGGGTGTCCTGGCCAACTATCTTCCAGCGAGATAGGTTTCGTCCCAGCTTGACAAGCGGCAGGAAGGGTTGGCCAGGTTCCCAACAGCCGGCAATGAGGTTTTAGCCGGTTAAACCTTAGCGCTTGTCAATCCAACGCACGCGCTGGGGTTCCCCGAGCCTTAGCTCCTGCCGACCTGTGCCTTGTATGCTCCGGAGAATTGGGTAAACGGGGGTTATTTCGGTCCCTCGATGGGCAGAGAGTGGGCATTCTATTCCATTCCCACGGCGGCATTCACATGTGGGATTCTCTGCCATGGCCATGGGTTTCTGCGTGTGTCGGGGCACCCGGCTGATCGCACCGAAAAACACACAGTCACTCCACTTTACAGCGTCATCCCGTGAAGCGCTTTGAGACGTCTCGACGACGCGAAAAGGCGTCGTGTCAAACGCAAGGATTATTATTGTTATTATTATTATTATAAATGTCATTATAATTCTTATGGTTGTTATTATTTTTGTTATTATTGTTATTATTATTGCTATTAATATTATTATTGTTATTGTTGTTATTGTTATTATTATTGTTATTATTGTTGTTATTATTGTTGTTATTGTTATTAATATTATTATTGTTGTTGTTATTGTGATTAATATTATTATTATTGTTATTGTTATTATTGTTGTTGTGATTATTGTTATTGTTACCTGCGGTGCTGCTGCTGTGGACCTTTGATGAGGTGAGGATGTTGCTGCGGAGTTTCCCGTTGCTGATCCGGACGCGGAGAGCCCCGGCTGTCCCGGGAAGTCGGCTGTACAGCAGCAGTCCGTCCCCGTTCCACGTGCGGAACTGGAAGCTGAGCGACAGCCCATCCATCCGGGGCCGCCCCGGGAGCACCAGGTAACTGCCCGAGCTGCCAAACGTCACCGGCACCACCGGGGCCTCCCAGCAGGAGAAGCTCACGTTCCCCTGGGGATGGGGGGAGAGGGGGGGGGGGCGGAGAGGGGGAGAGAGGGGGAGAGAGTTGGGAGTGGGGGGGAGAGGGGGGGAGAGTAGTGGGGGAGAAGGGGAGTGTAGGGAGGAAGGGAGGAAAGGGGGGAGGAGGGAGAGGGAGGGGGAGAGGGGGCGAGCGGGAGAGGGGAGAGAGGTGGGATGGGGGGAAGGGAGAGGGACGGAGAGTGGAGGTGGGGGGGAGTGGAGGAAAGGGGGAAGGGGGGAAGGGGGAGAGAGGGGATGGGGAGAGGGGGGAGAGGAGAGAGGCGAGTGGGAGAGGGAGAGAAAGGAGAGAGCGAGGGGCGGTGGTGAGGGGCGGTGAGTAATGAAAGAGAGAGAGGGCGAGAGGAGGGGAGAGGAGAGTAAGAGCGAGAGGAAGAGAAAACAAGCATGAAAATGTCGGCCATCCGGTTGACCAAAAAAAAAACAGGCTGCCTCTCCATCTCCCTCTCTATCTATCTCACTATCTCTCTCTCTCTCGCTCTCTCTCCCTCTCTCGCTAACCCCCTCGGGTTCGCTGGTCGCGTACGGCGCTCTTACCAGGACGTGTATCTGAGGTTTGTGCCTCTTGGCCAGGTCGATGATGTTGACCCCGTTGTAGTAAAGGTTTTCCAGGCAGCCGCGGAAGTTCTTCCTCAGGAAGGTCACCGACTTGCCAGGCACCGGGATCCCTCCGAAGCTAAGCTTTGGGGAAAGATAAGGAGACGCCGGAGCTACACGGTCAGAAACCGTCCGGGAAATCTCTCCCTCTCGGAAAAAAAATTCTTGGAGGCTCTTGAGATGGGTCTTGAAGGAGGGCGAGGGTTGGGGCCAGAGTGGCGGATAGCGGGGCGGGCGAGGCGGGTGGACGGGGAAGCAGGTCGGAGGACCGCCGAGCGGAGGGGGCGGGCGAGGCGGTAGGTGGGGGTGGGGGGGGGATTTAGGAGGGTCGCAGAGGTGACAACCGCAGGAAGCAGGGACGCGATTCGTCCCATCTCCGCCCAGCGCTTCACGGCATACACGTGAATTATCGATCGATCGATCCATCAATCAATCAATCAATCAATCAATCTATCAATGAATCAATTAATTAAGAGAGAGGGCGAGAGGAGGGGAGAGGAGAGTAAGAGCGAGAGGAAGAGAAGACGAGGATGAAAATGTCAGTTAATTAATTCATTGATTAATTGATTGATTATTAATTAACTATTCATTAATTGTTAATTGATTATTAATTGAATACGCCAGCGGCGGGGGTGGGGGGTGGGGGTGGGGGGGGGGTTTCCCACGTCAACGGTCGTGTCAGCCCAGCGCAGCGCAGCTGGACGCCGGGTCTCACCTCGTAGTCGATGTCCAGGTAGTCGAACTCGCCCCTGGTGCGGAAGTGCTGCGTGTGCTGATCCACGGTGAAGTTCACCTGCTTGTTGTACCGTTCGATGGTGACCGAGTGCCAGTGCTGGTCGTCCAGCAGACTGCCCAGGGTGGCCGAGGTGTGGCCGTTCACCGACTGCAGCTTCGTGTCGCCTGAGAGAGAGACAGAGAGAGAGAGAGAGAGACAGGGAACGAGAGCGTTATGTTCACGCCTTGTGCAGCCAGCGACTCTCTCTCCCCCCCTCTCTCTCTCTCTCTCGAGCTGAGAAGCCTGGCTCGGTCACTCTCTCTCTATCTCTCTCTGTGTGATTCGCTGCCGCTGTCGAGGGCGCTCGCCGGGTTGCGCGAATGCCACCGCCCGGTTCCACCGCCGGTGTCGGGCAGTAAGAAGAAAGTTACCCGCTCTCACCCAGGTTGAGCTGCAGGGAGACTTGGCCTTTGCTGAGCTCCAGCGTGATGTAGTCCCCCCTCTGCCCCTCTCCGTGCAGGATCACCCCCTCGCTCTCCGTGCTCCTGAACTGGAGCGAGATCGTGTCCTTCACGGTGCTGACCGTCTTCTGACTGAATCTGTACAGCAGCGAGCTCCGGCCGTCAAAGTCCGCCACGTCCGACTCTGGAGGGGGGGGGAGACAGGACGCACGGGTAGGAGCTTGTGAGCGAGTGGCTGTCTGTCGGCCTGGCTCAGTGGGTAGCGCTCTCTCTCTCTCTCTCTCTCTCTCGCTCTCTCTCTCTCTCTCTCTCGCCTTTGGGGCAGAAGGTTGTGGGTTCAAGCCCCCACATCGTGACTCGGACTCACACCGTCTAAGCAGCGCTGGGGGGGGTGTGTGTGTGTGCTGTATTGTCAGAGACGCCGTCCTTCGGTCCTCATTCTCCGTCTGCGCCTGTTCAGGCGGACGTTAAAGATCCCAATGGGCTATTGCAAAAGAGAAGGGAGTTTCTTTCTCTCTCTCTCTCTCTCTCTCTCTCTCTCCGGTGTCCCTGGCTGACAATTCCTGCCCTCGCCCGCCTCCCCAAATAAAATTAGTCGCTCGTTTGGTGGCTGCTTTGTGGGGGACGCCGCTGTGCGCGATTGGCTGCCGCGCTTCACCCACGAAATACACTTTACAGTACATCCCGTGAAGCGCTTTGAGACATTACAACAACACGGTAAGACATGATAATAAAGCGATAATCAAACGCAAAGATTATTATTATTATTGTTGTTGTATTAATTATCATCAACACTACATTCGAGTGTCAGTTTCGAGCGTGTGAGTCGACGTGGGTTGGGGCTCGAACCCACAAACTTTTGACTCGGTGCCAGCGACTGAGTCAGGCTGACGCCTGTCAGCTATCTAGACTTTTGAACCCCAAAAGTGTCGACACTTCGATAAAATGGCAGCTTAAGGTCACCCAAGGAAACGATAGACTCAAATAACGGCGCCGTTAATTATCTGCGATCCTCCCGACCCCCCAAAAAATGGGTTTAATTATAATATTATAATCCTTTAGTCATTAATAACGTGTCACTCAGAATGAGAATGAATAATGGGCTCATTAGTCCATTAGAAAGGAATGCTGGAAAGGAGATTAGAAACACAAACAATAAATGCCAAAAATAGACAATAATTCAGTCCCGTAGCCCATGACAGTGATAATAAATTGGTAACAATGAACTGTGTACAATTATAACCGGAAATTTGTAATGTAATTATCTTCCCCCCATTTTCTGGAGCTCCATCTCAGAGTTCCTCCAACTCCCTCCCTCCCTCCCTCCAATTCCCTCCCTCCCTCCCCTCCTCCCATACAACGTCTCAACACGTCACCGAGACGTCGGAAAGCCCTCAGCGCAGCGACCGTGTGTTGGTGGGCGTACACGGCAGCCAATTTCTGCGCTCAGTGACGTCCCACAATTTTATTTGGGGAATTGTCGGCCGAGACACCGGGAGGAGGAAAGCCCCTTCTTTTTTTTTCTCCCAAGGCATCTTTAACGTCCGCCTGGACAGAAACGGACGGGGACCTCAGTTTAACACCTCAAGGGCAAGACGACACCTCTGACAATGTAGTGCTACATCCCAGCACTGTAGTGGAGCATCAGTATGAGTTCTAACGTCCCAACGTGGCGGGGAGGGGGCTAAGGACTAGAGATCTGGGTTGCGGGGAGTATCGGTTGGTGTATCTCTCTGGTCCTGTGGTCTTGTGAATTCTGAATAATCCTTGCATTTGAAACAGTGCTCTTGTGGTGAGCAGCAACTTCGGTTGTTAATCGATTGGTGGATCGCTTTTCCGGGGTTAACAACTCCTTCGACCAAAAATAGTAATACATCGGTCACTCGATCCACAAAACAGCCGTGGATTCAGTGATCAAATTTTGGAGGGATTATTACTACCGGAAATCGAATAACAACTGGGTTTCTGCTTACCGCTGAGTAAACAGAGACGCGCGCGTGTGTGTGTGTGTGTGTGTGTGTGTGTGTGTGGGGTGAGGAAATTTGCTCAAGGTTTCGCTCTGACCCGCCCGGGAATCGAACCCCGGGTCCCCTCGCTTGCGAGGCGAGCGCTCTAACCGCCGAGCTTTAGCCCCGCGATCAGGAGTCACATCCGGGGAGTCAACGGGAGCAGTTAGTGAATAAACCAAGTACTGAGGCAACTGAACGGACAAAAAATTCGAGAGGATCACCTTCTCTTCGACGCTCCCGGAAAAAAAAATGAAAGCCGATCGGATGAAACGGAGAACGAGTTTACCCGATGAAAGAGACCGAAAGATTCCCAGCTGAACCGGACTTGGAATAATATTTCTAATGAGCTATTGAGGTTCGGCGTCTTCAATGAATAATAAGTGGCGATGAGGAGTATATTGCGCATCGCTGGACGAACGAGACGTAATTGGAATCAGGATTGGAGCTGTTTCCTTTCAGTGTGCAGCTCGGGAAGTGATCACTTTGTTTCTCTCTCCTGTAGGATATTGCTCGGGCGTCTCGTCGACGTGATGAGGCGCTGTGTCAAACGCAAGGACAATTGTTGTTATTATTATTATTATTATTATTGAGTCAGAGGTCCCTCGGACGCGATGTTAAACTGCGGTCCCATCAGCGACTGTTCAGCTGCAAGTCAAAGAAACTTTTTTTTTGCTTAAGCTGCAGTTAAATAATATCTTGGTTTGTGTTGAGCGTGTGTGAGACATGACCCGGGTGGGTGGGGGGGTGATGTACCGTCGGAAACCCCTGACTGAGATACGTGGGCTTGAGCCCTCAACCTTCTGGCTTGGAGAGCGAGAGAGTGACTGACTGACTGACTGACTGAGCCAGGCTGATGTTTAAGAGCCCAGCGACTTGCTGATATATAGGGGCGACTACACACGAGCTTATTGGGTTCAATGGTAATTTTTAGACACTATTAGCTGACAGTTCCCAAGGTAAGTGAATAAATCGTCTCGTGAAGCTCCTCCAGAGCCTTTTCTTTCGACAAACTCGTGCCGGCTCTTACGTCCGCGAGGACAAGCTGCCAATCCGGCAAATCGGGGCCGTTGTCCACTGAAAGAGCGGTAACAGATGACTGGTTCCGAGAAACGACAACAACAGCTTGCATTTCCGCAGCGCCTTTCATTCACGTCGGGAGGACGTCTCCCAAGTTTACTGGGCAGTCGGGGGATTGGGTAACCGAGCTGGGGGTTGGGATCACGGGATGCGGGCGGGGGGGGGGGGGTTGGAGGGCAGGGAGGGTCGGGGGTAGGGGGGGGGGACCGAAGGGCGCAGTCGGAGAGGAGGGTCTTGGAGGGAGGGATGAGAAGAGGAGGGAGAAGAATTTTACCATCGCAGACGTGTAAGTTCGAAGGGAGCCATGTAAGTAAACCTTAATACACCGAAGCTCGAGTGGGGTTTAGATTTTAATTGGAGTTTAAAGTGGGAGAGGGGGGGTGTGTGTGTGTGTGTGTGGGGGAAAGAGTCTTTAAAACACATCTGCTCTGCATTCCAAATTAGAGATTAGTTGGGTACAGCCTCGAAATTCAGCCGACTGGATGCGTTCGAAGAAAAAAAAAAGCAATTCCCGACCAAGACAATTCTCAGAAGCGATTCAGCTGCACGCTCCGAGATGTTCTGCCGGCGTGAAAGGCGCTGTGCTAGATGTAAGGGTTATTAAATAATCCTGTGTATTAATTTATTGTTCTAATAATTCTTGCTTTCGACTCCTGCGGCTCAGCCGTTACGGCTCTCGCTTCACAAGCGAGAGGACGCCCGGGTTCGCACACGCTCCTCTCCTGACCCAGCAGTGAGTAGGAACCCGGCGTTGTTAGTCGCTTTTCCGGGGGTGATAGTCCCTTCAGAGAAATTAATAAAAAATTCGGACGCCGCTGTGCGCAATTGGCTGCCGCGTTTCGCCCACACAACGCACAGTCGCTCCACTTTACGGCATTTTCCGTAGAGAGCTTTGAGACGTCTCAATCACGTGATAAGGCGTAACATCAAATGCCGGGATTATTGTTGTTGTTTTATTAACAGGGCCTCATCGCATTCATCGAAACGGTGTCAAAGTGCGGTGGGGGGGGGGGGGGGGAGTGTAGAAAAAAATACAACCTGGATTGATTTCTCTTATAAATTGCATTTTGATCGAAACTTCCACGGGTGGACCTTAGTTTAATGAAAAATATCGATGGAACAAAAACGGACGTCACAATGTTCCAACACGACTTGACACAAGGCCAAGAGGCACAAAGCACCTGCGTTCAACTCCGCGAGATTGGGATCATACTCTGACGCCCCCAATTCCACCCAGTCTTTGCCTAAGGCAGTATTTTTGCCTTCAGGTTGGAGATTGTGACCGAAATCTCGCAACCAACCCGCCCTTTTCCCTCCATTTCCCCCTTCATGTCTCCCGTCCCCACCATCGCTGGTCGAGCTTTCAGCCTCTCTGCCGCCACTCTCTGAAACTCCATCCCTGTATCCCTTCGCCTCGCCCCTTCCCTAACCTTCTTCCAGGTCCATCTCAAGATCTTCTTCTTTAACTGCTCCTTCCTTTCTTTCTTCTTTCTTTCTTTTTCCCCCTCTCTCTCTCTCTCGCTCTCTCGCTCTCTCTCTCTCTCTTTCTTTGTCCATCTGTCTGTCTTAGACGTAGTATATCTCCCTCTTTCTGTTTCTTTGCCGGTCTTCTCGTCAAAGATCCGAACAGATCTCGCTTATCAACGGAACCTACTTTCAAGTCATGTGTAAATTCTGATTATTATTACGTGGGAAAAAAAAGACGCTGTGATATTACAAGCTGCGGATCACAGGCAATGTAGGACAGCCACAGAATCCGCACCCCAGACAGACACCCTCATTACCGGAGCGTGTAACATAATCCTGCTATAAGATCAGTTAACAAAGTTAATTAACCCCCAGGTAATTAATTTATCCGTTACATTTTATCCCGGTGTTATAAGGGCTGAAAGAGCGACCGGCTCAGGATTACTTTATAATGGGGGACGTGGGCAAGTGGATCTGATTGACTTAGATTGCGAGGGACCTGGGGCGGGGCGAAACCTGAGGCAAGTGTCCTCACTCCGCACTCCGTCTCTGTTCACCAAGTAGGAACTCAGTCGTTAGTCGACTGGCGGATCGCTTTCCCGGGCGGTCATCATCCCTTCGGGAAAATGGATCTTCAAAATAATAATTCGGTCACCTCAATCCACGGCTGTTTGTGTGGGACTCCGCTGCGCGCAATTGGCTGTCGGGTTCCGCCCGCAAAATATACAGCCGTCGGTACGTTCTGTGACGGCGCTTTGAGATCAAACGCAAGGATTATTATTATTATTATTATTAATATTATTATTATTACACTGTGAGCTGAACTCCCCGAGGTGCTGGGGGCAGGGGCTGGAGATACAAAGTGTTGAAACAAGCGTTGCTGACATTAAAAAAGCGACCCCTTTTTGTGAGAATCCCCCCCAAAAAAGATTAACAAGGAAGTAGGCTACATCCCAAGGACTGTACATCGCCCTACTAATGGAGACAGCGTGACCTACCCAGCAAAGCCTATTTTTCCTGTTACGTATTAATTGGACAGCTCCCGAAAGGGATGTCAGTGCAGGGTTCCTCTGTTCCTCGCCCCTGTCACGCCGGCACACTACAATTAAATGGTTTCCGCAGCCTCCACTGTGGCCACATTCTGGCTTACACAACCACGTTTGAGCAGCTTTACAATAGGGACGATAACATCATAATTCCTCGCATTCGATACAGCGCCTTATCGTGTCGTTGAGGTTTCTTTAAAGCGCGTTATCGGGATGTATTGACAAGGGGATTACGTGACCGTACTATTACTGTCATTGTCATTTTAAGGGGATTATTACCCCCGAAAACAATCGGGTTTCTGTTGGTGCAAGGGAAAGCGGAGGCGTGTGGTGGACGGAAACTCGGCTAGTGTTTCTCTCCCCGCCCGGGAATCGAACCCGGGTCCTTCTCGCTTGGGATGAGACATTAAACCGAGGTCCTGACTGTACCTCTTCAATTGCCGGTTAAAGATATCGCAAAGAGAAGGGAATTTTTTTTCCCCAGTGTCCCGGCCGACAGACAATTCCCCGGATGAAATTGATCACTGGATGTTTGCCGGCCGCTGCTGCCTCTCAAATCGGCTGCGGCGTTCGCCGGCAAAGGCAGGGTCACTACGCTTGGCCCTGGGAATCCTGCGAAAGGCTCCGATGCATCTCGACGACACGACGAAGTCCTCCGCGAAATGCGAGGGTTATTATACATCGAGCCTGTAACGCACATTGGCAGAGATTTAAACGGTTTGTCTTCGCAATAAAAGGCTTCATTCTTCTCGAGCCTTCCCGGCGGAATCTGATACCAAACATCAAGAGCCTCAGTTCAATTTCTGAAGCTCCCTGGGCGCCATCTCGCAGAATCTATTACAGCGTTTGGACCAAATAACGCAAGCGAAACCGAGGGTTTAGTACCAGCAGCTCCTGCCTTAAACCGTTACTGGTGCGCGTAACGCAACCAGCGGGTAAATCACGACAGCTCTCTCGTCAACGCCCGGAATATAACAACGCCATCCAACGACACTGGCTCCAGAGCGCGCCCTTTCACCTGCGGGGAGAATTGTCTCAAGGTGCCTCACGGGGAGTGCGGTGACCTCGTATTTTGCGGATGGACCCGGCGGCCGATTTGCACGCGGCGAACGTCCCACGAGAGCGCGGTGGTAGAGAATGAGGGATTTTATCTGGATTATTCGGGTCACTCCTCTTTGTGGGGACGTTGCTGTTGGTGCGGGGGGCGCGGCTGTGTGCCCAATTGGTCGCCCCGTTCGCCCACAAAATGCACGGTCGCCGCGCCTTGTGGCAAAACGCTAACAATAATCCTTGCGTCGGATCCGGCGCCTCATCGGGTCTTCGTGGCGTCCCAAAGCGCTTCACGGGACACGCCGTAGAGTGAATTGGCCGTGTGTTTTTTTTGTGGGCGAAACGCGGCGAAACCCACACAAACAGCTGTGGGTTGAGCGATCAACGTTCTTACGAAGGGGTTATTGCCGCCTGGGAATCGAAACATCGCTAACCACCAGAAACATCCTGTGAACGGCTTGGAGACGTCCTTCCCCGACACGAAAGGGCGCTGGGTCGAAAGCGCGGACCGTTGCGGTTGCAACACGGGGCTGTCGCCTCGGAGGGAGCAGGTTTGCGATCGCGTGAGCCGAAGGAAAAAAGATTCTTCTTCCATCGCGTGAAATAATTAGGGGCGCAAGTTGAAGTTCCCTGCGTTTTATCGCTGCCGAAGCTGTTAAGTGACGTGACGGCGTCGATTTGAATTATTAGCAGTGGGATGTTTCTCTCGTGATGAATTATCGCGAAAGCCTTTTGCCTTGTGTAACTCGGGTCTCCCCGGAGCACGGCTGATAAAGCAACCGAATTAATTTTCTCTGACCTTTGTTATCAACTTGTATTTCATCCTGCGCTGGGGCTGCTGTAACCGCTGCCTTTCGCTTACGCCTACGCCTTCGCACGATTATCCTCTCGCACTGTTTATCTAAAGCTTCCCGCGGTATTGGGGGGGGGGGAGGGGGGGGAAACAACTCAGCACGTCGATGGCCCTTGTTTTTTTCTTTCTATCTCTCTCGCCTTTGCGCTCTCTCTCTCTCTCTCTCTCTCTCTCTTTCTCTCTCTCGATTGAAATTGCGAGACGGAAGCAAAACACTTGAGAAATGTACTTTGTTTTTCAAGCTTGTGAAGTGGTCGGCTCTCCTATTGGCAGGACTCAATTCGAAAAGCAAATTCGATTGATTTTAGGAGCGTAGGAGCATTCAGCCCCTCGAGCCTGTTCCGCCGTTCTATTAGGGGCCTTTGCCCCGTATCCCCTTGGCCCCCCCCGACCTGACAAACATCTCCAGACCTCAGTCTGGACAACGTGAATGGATCCTGACATAACCCACAGCCTTTGGGGGAGGGAGAGCGAGTCCCAGATTCCCACCGGCCTTTGGGTGAAAAACTGCCTCTTAATTTCACCCCCAAATGGCTTGGCTCTAATTTTAAGATGATGCCCCTCCTTGTTCTGGATTCCCCCCCCCACCGCCCACCAGAGGAAATAGTTTCCCTGTAGCTGCCCTATCCAATCCCTTTATTACTTTACACACTCAATCAGATCACCCCTCAACCATCTGAACTCAAGGGAATACAGACCAAAGGTTATGCAACGCAGTCCTCGTAGTTTAACCCCTTTAAATCCTGGTATCGTTTGGTGGATCTGAGATGCCACAACCTCCAGGGCCAATATATCTTTCCTGAGGTGCGGTGCCCAAAACTGAACGCGGACGGGGTCTGACCAAGGCTCTCCCTTTTAGGAAATAGTATCTCGGGGGAGACAGTATATAGTTCGGGACACGATGTGTCAAGCGCCAGGACAGTGGAAGGCAAACTGGATGGACCGCGGTCTTCTTTCGTGCAGCAAATTCTCACGCTCTTTTACTTACTGTACGAACAGCCGTAAACCTCCACTCTCATCCCGATTCTGCCGTTGGCATTCCAGTCGAGCGGGACCAGGCGTAGGAGGCGAGCTTTGATGGAGTGCTGTAAAGTGTGTCGCACCACACCATCTGCATTGGAGTTCCCAGTGAAAGCCTGTGAGCGGGGAAGGGGGAGAGAGAGAGACAGAGAGAGATGAGTCCAGGCAAAGCAAAAGGCACTGGAGATCTACAATACGCCAACACATACCAATTAGTTTCAAAATCGTGCGTAGGCTCACCCGCTCTACCCCCCCACTCCCCCAATCACACCAGGCCTCGCCAGGCTCCACCGGCTCTGTATCATGGAACGGATCGACTTCAAGATCCTCTCACTCGTCTACAAATCCCTTCATGCCCTGACACCTCCCTCCCTCTCTGACCTGCTTGCTCCCACATTTCGCCCACAAAAAATCACACAGGCAATCCACTTTACGCTGCTGTATAGTCTGTGAAGTGCTTTGCAACGCCTTATCGACATGATAAAGTGCTATATCAAATACAAAGATTATTGTTATTATTATTATGATATTTGGTACAGTGCCTTTCATGTTGGGAGGACATCCCAAAGCACTTGACAGGGTATGATGTTAAGTCCGATCGGTGTTTATTGTGTGGGAGGACGTGGAAGCTAATTTACGTACAGCAAACAGGAATCCCAAATGAACCGTAACCTTTCTGGGCAGCTCTGCCGAGACCTGGTTGCACAATGAATTGCTGGAGCCGTTAACTTGTTATCCCAACCCTGGCATCGCTCATTAATGCAGCTCACGTGGACATCAACCTGGTTTGGGAAGCTCAGGCCATCTATTTGTTCTGTATTCACACGCGGAGGCTGAGTCCTCAATGGATTCCTGTCAGCAAACACATTGCTATGCAGCTGCCCCCACTCTGCCACAATATCATCATCAGGTAATAATTATTGCATTTGATTATTCACTCCGAGAGTGGAATGCCAAGGGAGGGGATAGAGGCAGAGTCTGTCAGGGGTGCAAGAGTGAATCCGACAGGGACGTGAATGATAGAAGCTTGAAAATATGGGGATAAAATGCAACGTTGTGGTTAGAACACTCGACTCGCAAGCGAGAGGACCCGGGTTCGATTCCCTATTAATCTATATATAACCTATGAATTGGGTTCGATTCGGGGCGAAACCTTAGTCAAGTTCCCTTACTCCACACACACACACACGCCTCTGTTCACCGAGCAGTAAGTAGGAACGCGATTGTTAGTTGATTGGTGCATTGCTTTCTGGAGGTAATAATCCTTTCAAAATCAATCAATCAATCAATAATTTGGTCACTCGACCCACGGCTGTTTGTGGGGACGCTGCCGTGCGCAGTTGACTGCCGCGTTTCGCCCACAAAATATACAGTCACTCCACTTTACAGTAAATTCCCGTGAAGCGCTTTGTGAGAGGTCTGAACGACTTGATAAGAAGCTATATATCGAACGCAACTCTGCAGCCAGCGGCGCACAGCCAGTGTCCCACAAACAGCCGTGGAGTGAGTGACCCATTTTATTTGGGGGATTGTCGGCCAGGCCACCGGGAGAGGGAAACTCACTTTACTTTTCGAACAGAGCCGTGGGATGTCTAACGTCCACCTGAAACAGGGAGACGGGACCTCGGTTTAACATCGCATCGGAGGACGGCACCTCTGACAACACAGCACATCCCCAGGGCTGAGTTGGAGCGTCAACCAAGACAGTTGTGAGTTGAACATCCCCAACACGGGGCGTGAACCCACAACCTTCTGCTTGAGAGGCAAGATGTATTATTGAACTGAGACAGGCTGACAGCACTGAACGTAACCAACAGCCCACTGTGGGTAATCTAACACAGTCTTATTATATATTTTGCAAAAAAAAAAATTGTGCAAACGTTCAACTTCCAGTGGAAATATCGTATCACCAATCGTGGGATTATGATTAATTCTCTGTGATGTATAACTGTAATGAGAGATGCGTTTCCAAGGACTGATTTTAAACTCCTGTTTAACAGTCTCGTCCATTAACAAGACGTTAAAGGTCATCCTTAATCAGTTTAGATTTGATTTATGCCAGACTTTCGCACGTTAGTATTAAATGCATTTATCATGCTGATAAATAAGTGAATGAATGATATCCTTTTGCCTCGATATAATATGCAAGACATCTTGAATCGGGCATTTCTGATATATCTGTGCTGCCTTTAATCCAATTTTGAGGAATTAGTCTCACTTGCTTACAATGGCTCGAGAATGTGTACATTGCTTTATTGGCATTGACACAGTTGCTGGCAATCGCTAGGTGTTACTTTGCAGTCATTCCAATGTTGATTCGATTCCTCTTAGGCTGGAACCGTCGTCTCTGAGACAGAAGGTTTGTGGGTTCAAGCCCTGACATCGGGACTTGGAACTCACGGTCGAGGCTGACACTCTGCATTGTCGGAAGTGTGAGACGTTAAACCGAGCTCCGGTCCGCCGGTTCAGGTGTTCGCTAAAGGTCATGTGTGGCAGTCCTCAAACAGAGAATGCACCACACTAAACTGTAACAACAACAACATAACTAGATTTGTAGAGCGCCTTTCACGTTGGGAGGACGTCCCAAAGCGCTGGACGGTCAGGTGTCGGGGCCCGAGCATGGGGGAGGGGCGGAGTGTAGGGGTGAGGGAAGGCAGAGAGGTGGGAGGGAGACCAAAGGCGCGGTCGAAGAGAAAGGTCTTGAGACCGGCCTTGAAGGAGGCAATGGAGGAAGGGAGGCGAAGGGACCGTGGGATGGAGGTCCAGAGGGTGGGGGCAGAGAGGCTGAAAGCTCGGCCACCGAGACATGGAGCAGAGCGGAGCCCGATGAACGGGGGGAGCGGGCAGGTTGGTAGGGAGTCAGCAGGTCAGAGAGGTAGGAGAGGGCAAGGCCATGGATGGCCTTAAAGGTGAGGACGAGGATCTTGAACTCGATCCTCTGGGGGATGGGGAGCCGGTGGAGTTGGTTGAGAGTGGGAGTGATGGGGTCACGGAGCCGGGTGCGCGAGAGTACACGAGCTGCAGAGTTTACTCTGTAAGGATTATTAATCGTATTATTATCAATGAATTGCTACCGCCATGAGATGCTGAGTTAGTTCTTGCAGCGAAACACCATTGAGGTAACTTTCCTCGAGGATAGGAAAATGAAACCCGTAATCTCTTCTTTTTTTTTCACAAAAAAACCCCTGCAATAATTAGTTTCTGGTCTATCCTCCGGGGTGTGACACATTAAATAACTTTGCAAAGAAAAATCTGTAGCCAAAAGCGTATCGACACACACAGGTCTGATATCAACGGGCCTTTTGGGTGGGAGCCCAAACGATTAATACAGATAATTGCCCTATTTTTCACAGAACTTTGTCGAAGATATCAATATCATTTGAATATCTTAGCATCCCTGCAGGAATGAGACGCTATAATTAAGACAATATTCACGGTGCAGCGTAAGACAAAGCCTCGGAGATGAGCAGGAAATTGATTTCACAGGGAGAGGCGGAGAGTAATCTCTCTCCGTTTCTTTTCTTGTGTCTTGAACAAGACTGAGAAGAATTTCGGAATTAAAGTCAGAGACTCCATTGAGAGCCGTACAGTGCTCTGGGCAAAGACACGCCTTGGAGTCGTGGTACAGTTCTGGTCGTCGCAACCCTAGAATGGTTCGGTCGTGCGCTTTTCAGCCGCTTTGTGGGGATATTAACGTGCTCAGATTTGGCTGCTGCGTTGCCCCGTGTTTTACTGCGTTTCGCGAAGCACTTTGAGACGTTTCCGGGCTGTAAGGCGTTGTGCGTCGGATGCAGTTTTCAAGATGAAGGTAGACAAATATTTGTTGGGTTAGGGTGTTAAGGGATAGGGGGCAAAGGCAGGTAACTTGGACTTGAGGTGTAGATCAGCCATGATCTTATAAAATGGCGTAACTAGGCTCGAGGAGCTGAATAGCCTCCTCCTGTTTCTACGTACCGATGACTTGAGGATGATCCAATGCAGGGACGTTTCCCACTCAAGCTCCTGCAAGCCAAAGGCCGAATGGGTAGAGTCCTGGCCTGGAAAAGTAGGGGGAAAGCTCGCCAGGCGGTGTGCTCTCTCACTTGCCAGCCATGCGGTTTCAGGATTATTTATGATTCGAACCCATCTGTGGTTTGCAGGTTCAAGTCCTGTCAGATGTGCCTCCCCGCAGATGACGCATTAAACTGAGCTCCCGCCCATTTGTTCGGGGTGGCTGGGGGGGGGGGGGGTGGGGGTTTGAAAGACACTTAAACTATCCGAAAAGAGAAGGGAGTTTATATCCCAGTGCGTTGGTCGACAATTTCCACCCCCTCTCACCCCACCACCGCTCTCCCCTCTGAGTAAATTTGGTCATTCACTTCACGGCTGTTGTTCCGTGAGAACGTTCATTGCTGCGCCACAAAAATTGGCTGCCAAATCCGCCCGCAAAATGCGCAGCGCAGTCACTGCCGGTTGCAGTATCTGCTGGAAATTGCTTTTGAGGCTTTTCGGTGCTATGAGGCATTGCATCAAATGCGAAAGTTATTACGGTTGTTACAGGAGCGGGTGGGCTTGTCAGGTCAAATGGTTTCCTCTTGCGCTGTAATGCCTATGATTCCGCGAAATTCCACTTTATTCCATTTACATGGGAATGATCGCTGATGGAATCGTAGCAGCCGGGACTCGGGCAAAATTGACTGAGCCGTCGTTTAACAGGCTAACCTGCCATCTCTGGACACGCGACTGAATTCAGTCCACGCCTCACTTGCGTAAGGCGGAAAGAACAAAATTTGGACTGTAAACTGCGGTGGTGGAGAGGGGGTGGAGAGAGAGGGAGAGAAAGAGAAAGAGAGAGAGAGAGAGAGAGAGAGAAATCTCACGACCGCAGATACAATTTTCGTTCCATTGTATCTCGCCGTTCCAATTTCCTTCCGAGAGCTTTTGATTTGCGAGAAGAAACATGATGTGCGGGGAGTAACCAGACAGAAATGATCACTTTTGCTCCAAATGCCATTGGCAAACGAAAAGCAAAGGCAGATGAGATTGTTCGCGTGAGTCCGCGAAGCCTGTCGAACTATCGCTCTCTCCGTTGCCGGTTTTACAACACACCGCTTGTTTACTTAATTAATGAATGAAT